TTGGCAACTTGATCGCGAACAAAGTGAAAGTCGATTGCTACATGTTTCATTCTACTATGGAAGACAGGATTTTTGCAGAGGTATGTAGCACCAATATTATCACAATATATGACAGGAGCTTTGAGCCGGGGTAAGGAAAGCACACGAAGCAGATGAGATAGCCAATTTATCTCTGCCACTGTTGTTGCCACTGCCTTATATTCTGCTTCAGTGGATGAGCGAGCAACTGTACGTTGTTTCTTTGAGGACCAGCTAATTGGAGTGGACCCAAGAAATACTATGTAAGCTGATGTGGACATACGGTCATCATGGTTCCCTGCCCAGTCAGCATCTGAAAATGCTGTGAGTGAAAGAGAGGTGGACTGTTTAATATGCAGACCATATGTGATTGTATTCTTGAGGTACCTGGGAAGTCTTTTGACTGCTTGCCAATGTTTAGTAGTCGGACAATGCATGAATTGAGCTAACTTATTAACTGCAAAGCAAATGTCTGGACGAGTGAAAGAGAGGTATTGCAAGGCACCTATGGCACGTCGATATTCGGTTGCATCTGTTGGAGCTGAACCATCATTGGCCGTCAAGACTTCAGAGGAAGACATTGGAGTGGATACACCTTTAGCATTTAGCATATGGTGACGTTCTAACACATCTGAGATATACTTATGTTGTGTGAGAAGTAATCCGCCATTGCCGGGAGTGATTCGACACCAAGAAAGTAATGAAGATGCCCCAAATCTTTCAAAGAAAATCGATTGGCCAGTGTTGTGACGAGCGAGCGAACAGCGAATACCGAGATGCTTGTAAGAATAATATCGTCTACATAGACTAGAAGAAACAAGTGATTGTCTGACCGAGCATTAGTGAAACCATACGAGATAAGAAAGGAACGAAGCTCCATGTACCAAGCACGTGGAGCCTGTCATAGACCATAAATTATCTTCTTCAAAAGACACACATGATTGGGAAATCGAGTGTCCTCGAAGACTTGGGGTTGCTTCATAAAAACAGTGTCATGCAAAGAGCCTTGTAAGAAGGCATTATTGACATCTAACTGGTGGATGGTCCAACCCAGGGTTACGGCAACAGTGATGATAAATCGGATTGTGATGTGTTTTGCAACAGGGCTAAAGGTGGAGTCGAAGTCAAGGCCAGGTCTTTGGCTATACCCTTTCGCTACAAGACGTGCTTTGTAGCGTTCTACCGTGCCGTCCGTATTGTGCTTGATTTTGAAGATCCATTTGCAACCTACAACATTTTGGTGAGGAGATGGGGGTACTCCAGGTTTGGCTACGTAGAAGAGCATAAAATTCTACTTGCATTGCAGCACGCCATTCAGGATATTTAGATGCTTGACGATAAGTGCTAGGTGCTAAAGGGAGTGCCGACAACCCTGTGGTGGCTAGGTAATCAAAGACTTCTTTGGGCTTGAAAATGTTGTTCATAGAGCGTGTCACTGGTCTATTTTGGGAGGCTGTAGGCTGAGGTGACGTGTAATTTGGAAGTATATTTGATTGTACAGTAGAAGAGTTGGTGGAATCGGGGTATGGTGTTGGTGAGGCAGACTTGTTAGTGTTACTGGATGGGGGATCAGGGTTGTTTTCCACATGTGCAGGAGGGATTAAGGAAGGGGAGAGATGTGAAGAACTTACCTGTGAAGTTGGGGCAGCATGCTCTTCTTCGTTCAAGGCAGGATCTTGGGGAAGTCTATGCGCCGTTAGAATTGGCAGATCTTCATGTAGGTTGGATATGGATTTGGAGGTTGTGTCTTCAGTAATTGATGGTGTTGCAAAAATGGGAGAAAGCCATGGTGCTAAATCTTTTGGCATGACACAAGGCAGATTTGTTTGGTAATCTTTGAAAGGAAATACTGATCCAACAAAGATAACATGTCTAGATGAATAAAAATTTTGATGTTGAGGGTCATAGCAGATGTAGCTGCTGGAAGCTTTGGCATACCCCATGAAGACACATGGTCTTGATTTACTGTCCAGCTTATGATTAGTATATGGCTTAAGCCATGGGTAACATAGACAACCTAAGACACGTAACTTAGAATAATTAGGTGAGGTATGAAATATTGCTTCGTAAGGTGATTTATTATTTTGATTGGGGGAAGGTAAACGATTAATTAAGTATACTGCTGCTTGACATGCGAGAGACCAGAAAGAGAGTGGAATTGAAGCATGGTGCATTAGCGTGAGAGTCGTCTCTATTATGTGACGATGCTTTCTTTCGGCTGTGCCTACGTGTTGGGGAGTATAAGGTGGACTCGTAAGGTGTTGAATACCATGTCTATTAAGCAAGGAGCACATACCAACGTATTCACCACCCCCGTCGCTATAAACAGACCTAATGGAAGTATTAAAATATCGTTCAACCTGATTTTTGAAGTTATCAGAAATATTGGTGACATCAAATTTTTGTCCAGAAGTAAAGAGCCAAGAGTACTTGTGAAATGATCAACAAAGACTATGTAATAGTGAGTTTTATCTAAAGAAATGACCGGTGAAGGTCCCCACACATCAGAATAAAGAATATCAAGAGGACGGACACTTTGCAAGGTGTTGATGCCAAAAGATAGTCTATGGCTTTTATTAGATAAACAAGAATCACAGAAGGTAAAAGACATAGATGTAGAGACTGGAAGATTCAATGATGAAACAATCAACTTGGTTATTCGAGGTTGCGGGTGTCCAAAGCGAGCATGCCATAAGTGTAGTGAAGGACGACAGGTGGAGGTTGCGAACTGGGTGGTCGCTAGTGATATCCTAGTGGTTGATTGGGTTGATGGCCATTCATATAGATCCCCATTATTCCGGTCTTGAAAAAGTGATGCCCCCGTTCTCAGATCCTTCACAAGAAAATAATATGGGAAAAATTCAATAGATGTATTATTTTGTCTGCAAAACTTAGCTACTGAAATAAGATTTTTTCGAATATTTGGAGCACACAACACGTTATTAAGCACAAAAGGACTGGAATGGGAAGAGGTCTTTGGGAGAGAGGTATCACCTATGTGAGAAATAAGAATACGGTTACCGTCACCAATGATAATCTCATCCGATCCAGAGAAGTCTGATACTGACGGAAGATTTTGTGGATCATTTGTCATGTGGTGCGAAGCTCCTGAGTCAATTACCCACCGACTATTTGGGGTGTTAGTGCGAGCAGCAAAATTCGCTTGTATTTCAGCAGTAGAGTGAGATCTTGATCGGCAAACTTTGGCTATATGTCCAAATTTATCACAGAGTTGACATTGAATGCGATAATTATTAGACTCCCTTGATGGATTTCTATTTTGTTGTCTGTACTGATTATTGATGTTGGGTTGTTCATTCATGGGAAACGATTTGCAATTGGTGTTGTAGTTATTACGCGATCTGCTTCCCAAGTTTGTGGAGTTCCTCTGATTGAGTTGAGCAGTGATGATTAGTTGTTCCTTCTTGGCATCTTCATGTTTGAGGAAGACTTCATGTCCAAGTAGCTTGTCGTAGAGTTCCTCAAAGCTTATTGGTGTGTCACGGGCACGGATGGCTGCAGAGATCTCTTTGTACTCAGGTCCCAAACCACTAAGAACTTTAATTGTTAATTCTTCACTGCTAAGAGGGGAGCCTGAGGCAGCTAGTTCATCTGCAAGAGTCTTGACATAACAATAACAACAACCCAGTATAATCCCACAGTGGGGTCCGGGGAGGGTAGTGTATACGCAGACCTTACCCCTACCCTGGGGTAGAGAGGCTGTTTCCGATAGACTCTTGGCTCCCTCCCTCCAAGAACTCCCTACCTTGCTCTTGGGGTGACTCGAACTCACAATCTCTTGGTTGAAAGTGGAGGGTGCTCACCACTAGAGCAACTCACTCTTGTCATCTGCAAGAGTCTTGATCTCTCCCATAAATTCAGCAACGGACCTGGAGCTTCGCTTAAGAGTGGATAGTTGTTCACGAAGTCCAAAAATACGGGCTTGTGATTTGTTTGCATATGCAGTATGTAGACTTTGCCAAGCAGTTGCAGCTGTTGGGGCATTAGCAATAACTGGTGCAATCGTGCTATCTACCGAGGCCATGATTGCATTTCGGAGAAGACTATCATGTCTTGTCCAGATTTTGTAAGTCGGGTTGAGCGTTTGTTGAGTATTTGAGCCATTTTGTTGAGTTGAGAAACTGTGGAGGAAACGGTTCAGTGCCGTCGAGATAGCCCATAAGATCATAGCCAAAGATAAGGGTAGATATTTGTGCTTTCCAAGTAGAAAAATTATGGCTCCCAGTGAGTTTCAAGGGTAGTTGCGAAGCTGCATTGATTGAGATCAGTTGGGGCTGTTGTGGGATACCAGATGCAGCAGTCACAATTGTTGTTGTGTTGGCTGTGGAACCCATGGTTTGTGTGGTAAATATTGGTAATTGGTTTGAGGAGAAAGTGAAGTTGCAATGTTGGTTAGCCTTTTTACCAGAATCGAGAGGCTCTTTAGAGCATTTGCTGGCCTGATACCATATAAATGAACAGAGAGTTTATGATGAAGTTGTTATCTTTCATTAATAGGAGCTGTAAATATATAGAGTTTACAAGAGATTAAACTTGAAAAGATAAGTACAAGGAAGATACGGCAACATGGATACATATCATGATCGGTTTGAATGTAACTAAAATCTAGGAAATGGTTGGATCATGTTAATCTGTAATCCTTTATCATAAAGCATTTTGTTATGTCCTAGATATCTGAATATGCACTACAAGATCATTTAACTAAACTATTTCAAAGATATAATAGTTTAAAGATACAAACTTGATGTTGAAATGCCAATTTGGTTGGCACAGCTAAAAGATACCATAATGCACTGGTTATGAATATTCCCATATTTCCAGAACTGTGCCCTGTTAACATATACTATATGATACCACTAGAAGGTGTAAAATGTTTTTTTATGTACTAAATATCTGAATATGACACTACAAGATTGTTTAAAAACTATTTTAAGAAAGATGGCACACATACCACTAGAAGGTGTAAAATGTTTCGCTATGTATTGAATATCTGAATATGCATTACAAGATCGTTTAACTTGTTCAAGAAAGATGGCACGCATGCTAGTGCATGAGTTACATCCATTTCACTTGCCAGAGTCGACTCTCCAGTTGCACCTTGAACTGGATCACGAAACAGATCCATGTAAAATAGAAAGTAAGTACTATTAAGAGTAAGAATGAGGAAATCAGTAAAGAAAAGCTGCTGGACTATAAGAAACAAAGGATATGGGGCAAATTCATACCAGAGCGATGCCATCTCTCGTTGCAAGGACAAGGATATCAGAACAAGAGACAATCCCAGGGCATTTCTCCTCAATCTCATCCTTTATCATGTCAATGATATCGAAGCCTTTCAATGTCCTGTTCGGGATGGCCTCACGTTCAACATGAGTCCCATTCTCATTACTGTCAGCTAGAAGAACAGATGCATCACAACCCTGAAAAATCAGTAAAACACAAAACTCATTGTCTGGAAACTCTACCTTATGAAAAAAAAACAAAAACAATAAAGTCATTGTCTGGATCTGTTTTCACAATCTGCTCCGAGATCCTTCTTTTGCTTAATATCATTTCTTGACTCCCTTAGGACTCTAAAAGCTCACCTCTACCTTTTCAGAAGTAATGCCATCTCATCCTCTTTTTATTACCCATAGGAAAAGTGGGAAAAGGAGTGTCGGTACTGGGTACACACATAAAGGAATATAACTACAGGTAAATATACATTAGAAAAAAAAAATGAATAAGTGAATCTGCTGAAACTAGTGAGAAGAACAGTACATGTTTTTATCTTTATGTACGCATTCCAAACTGAGAAAGCAATATACCAAATTGGATCAGTTAAAACCTACATCTTGAATCAGAGGACGAACACAATGCACAAAGACACATTACAACATATGAAGAATCACAGTGCACAATGCACAAATCAAGATCACACGGCTAATTATAAAGAAAGAAGCATACACAAGTGAATCAAAGAAAAAAAATAAGAAAAAATACAAATGCACAAAATCGTGCGCGCATTAGGAACCAATGCCAAATATGGAAAAATACAAAATCCACAAAAGTATTGTAAATACACATATTCATGGACAAAACCAGTATAGATAAATCAACATAGAGAAACTAATTTGAAATAAGTAAAAACACACTTCTGAAAATAGGGAGGATGAAGAAGTTAAGGACCTTTATGCAAAAGACTGAGAAGGCACAAAAAGTTCACACAATGCAACACAACAAACATCACAAGGCTAACTATAAAAGAAATGTCTACAAACGTATAAGAGAAATACATAAAATGAAGTCACATCCGATACATGCATGGGGTGTAACAGTCTAACAGAGGAATAATAGTGACAAACGGCTGGAAGTACGTATTTGTGTTCAGATCGCGGACACATGCATTTGAGATTGTACAGCCAAAAAAGGTAAGAACTGCATCAAATAACAGAAGGAAAGACACAAAACAGATCATTTATCGTCATTTTCTTGAAAATAAGAATTAGACTTGCTTCCAAAAAAATTAAAGTGCAACAGTAGAGTTGACAGTGTAAGACGTTAGTCTCCAATAATACGATTGCAAGCCTCTTCAATCCCCTTTCTCTGCTTCATTGCAAGCCTCTTCAATCCCCTTTCTCTGCTTCATTATAAAAGGTTCTAAGTCGTTTTCTTGATTTAATCATGCTTAAATTTTCAAAAAGAAAGATTATACCTAGGCGTGCGGACAATAGATTCATGAACAGACAAATATGCTTCTAGAGTGATGAGAAAAATTAAATGAATAATACTATATTCCAGGAAACTCAGAAAAACCCCAATAAATGATGTACATATCAAGAGTCAGCAAACTGTATACGTACAAGAAAATAGAAATAAAGAGTACGAATAGAAGAACACCATTGCACATACAAGAGCACCTAAAATTTGGGAAAGACACAACAAAAAATATGAAAGTCAATATATTTAATCAAGGATTCAGAAAATGGAGAGTAAACATACCCGAATGAAACAATCATGGAAAAGAAGGCGTAAGAGTTGAGCTGGGGCGTTGTGTTGCAGCTGGACAATTCTCTGCATCGTTGACCACACAATCTTCTAAATATCCTCGCATTTCTCATCATAATAACCATATCCGAGGGGCATACTGTCATGACTCAATTTCATCTATAGGTCGTGATGGCGCCTAACACTAAAGCTAGTCAACCCAACTAGTAATTTAAACTCATATTCAATTCTTTGAGTACTTAAACTCTTCTTTCTTGCAAGAACTAAAACAATAGGCCCATTTCCATTTTCTTGGCTTCGGTTTCCATTTTGACACCTTAACTAAGCTCATTACCTAACTTCAACCTAAATCAATGTATACCTATTAAACACAAAAACTGACATGGCAAGAGAATTGTATTTCACCCCCTCTTACGCGCGTGAATTTAATGGGTTTGAGATCATGTTTTTTTTTTTGTTTAAATCAAAATTGACTTTTTTTTCTAAAGGCCACCCATAACCACCTGATCCGCGACGAGTAACGAAAGCAGAAAAAGAACGACAATAAATTTTATTGCTGGAATTAATGGAGATCGCCGGAAAAGTCAGAACTCCGGCCAGGTCCAAAGAGGCGACAAGCAACAGTAATATGTTATCAAAGTTTTAACATTTACACACCAAGCACGAAACCAGTAATAGACAGAACACGAACGAATCTCCGATACCACAATGATGGAAGACCAGAAATGGTGATAAATGTCGCCGATTTTAATGGTAGCCCCCGAAATATTAAATGTCTGGTTACTTCTTTCAGTTCTGCTCTTTTATCAGTTAAAACAACAACGAAACAAAATAATAGAGATGAAGGAGGAAAGGAAATGAGCAATGGCCGGTGGTTGCTAGAATCGCCGGATTCTTTTTTGTTTCTTCCTTTTTTTTCTCAACTTGGATTTTTTCTTCTCCAGTTAGCTAAAAGAAGGGATTTTCAACCCAAAAAAGAAAGAAAAAAAATTGACATAAATTTCTCCCTTTCCCAGATATGAAAATCCAAAAACGGTACCTGTGTTTTTTCCTTTTGGCAGATGAAAACGGTAGTCTTCTGGTGGTTGAAGAGCCAAGGAGATTGGGGAAGACGAAGGTGGGTTTCTATAGAAGGGGCTGGTGGGATTCCATGGAATGAAAAAAGAAAGGGGGTGGTTGGGAAGAAGGTGACGGTGGGAGGGGGGTGTTTAAAATAAATCTTTTTTGTTTTCAAAACTTCTTTTTGACTATTTTCCAAATGCCACATGTCTCCCTCTTATTTGTCATTTTGCTAAGTCATTCATGTGTGAATTACACGCACCTTATTGTTTTTACTGGTTATGAGTAAAGTGTTCAATAGATCACTTTATATAATATTAAAATGTTCAATAGGAAAAACGCTAAGTTAAAGTATCAAAATAGAAACTGGAGCCAAGTTTAAGGGGCTGTACACCTATTTGGCCAAAATAATATGAAAAGACCTAGTAAATTAAAATAATCAAAAAATATAATATTAAAGTGTTCAATAGGAAAAACGCTAAGTTAAAGTATCAAAATGGAAACTGGAGCCAAGTTTAAGGAGTCGTACACTAAACAATATGAAAAGACCTAGTAAATTATAATAATCAAAAAAAAAAATTTAATCAAGCGCAGGTGTGATTGAAGCCACTTCCCCTTCCGCTTCTGCGATTAAAGCTCGCATCTGCGAGGGGTCGCACCTGCGGCTGTACAAGCGCAGGTGCCAACGTACCAGAAGCAGAAAGCTTCAGCATTTTTCTCCTAAGTCCGAAGTTGGTCCGAGCCTCGTCCGGTTAACACTCGGGGCCCCCGGAGCCCCGCCCGAATATACCAACAAATTTGAAATCATAAAACGGACTCGATCGAACTCTCGAAACGTGTAAAACAATATCAAATCTAAGAATCATACCCCAAACCAAATTGATTCAACTTAGAAATTTCAAATTCTTCAAACTTACTCTGAATGCACCGAAATATACTTATACTACTCGGAATGACACCAAATTTTACGTGCAAGTCTTAAATCACTATACGGAACTATTCCCAAACTCGAAATTTCAAACGGACCTTGATTACTCCAAAATCTATTCCAAACCAAATTTAAAGAACTTTAAACCTTCAAATAGTTAATTTTTACTATTAAGTGCTAAAACGCTCCCAGGTTATCCAAAATCCGATTCGATCATCCGTCCAAGTCTGAAATCATCAAACGAACCTATTGGAACCGTCAAATTCTGATTCCGGAGTCATTTTCTCAAAATGTTCACCGAAGTCAAACTTGGCCTTTTAAAGCCAAACTAAGGAACCAATTGTTCCGATTTCAACCTGATCATTTCCATATTCCGAATCAACCATCCCGGCAAGTCATAAAATCAAAATGTTCGTCCACATCTTAAACAAACGTTCATCCTCGAATAAGTTTAGAATTGTACCTGGAGTGCCAATTAAGTGTGGATATCTGCTCCGCATATTTTTCTCGGCCTCCCAAGTCGCTTCCTCGACTGGTTGGCCCCTCCACTGGATTTTTACTGCAGAAATCCTCTTGGACCTCGACTGGCGAACCTGTTTATCAACAATGGCAACTGGTTCTTCTTCATAGCACAAACTATTATCTAGTTGAACTATGTTGAAGTCTAGCATATGTGATAGGTCGGCATGATACTTCCGGAGCATAGATACATGGAAAACCAGATGAACTCCCGATAGTCTGGGAGGCAATACAAGCTCATAAGCAACCTCCCCAACTCGTCTCAACACCTCAAATGGGCCTATAAACCTTGGGCTCAATTTTCCCTTTTTCCCAAATCTCATGATTCCCTTCATCGGCGAAACTTTCAAGAGAACTTTTTCACCTATCATAAATGATAAATCACGCACTTTCTGATCTGTGTAACTCTTATGTCTGGACTGCGCTGTACGAAGTCACTCCTGAATCAACTTTACCTTTTCCAAGGTATCCTTCACCAAATCAGTACCATATAACTTAGCCTCACCGATCTCAAACCATCCGATGGGCGAACGACATCGCCGGCCACATAAAGCCTCAAATGGAGCCATCTCGATGCTAGATTGGTAACTGTTATTATAAGCAAACTCGGTCAAAGGCAAGAAACGATCTCACTGACCTCGAAAGTCAATCACACATGCCCTGAGCATATCCTCCAAAATCTGAATTGTCCACTCTGACTGCCCGTCGATCTGCGGATGAAAGGCTGTGCTGAGCTCTACACGGGTCCCCAATTCACTCTGTACTGCTCTCCAGAAATGTGAAGTAAACTGAGGGCCTCTATTTGATATGATAGAAATCGGCACACCATGCAACCGAACTATCTCCTGAATATAAATCTGGTCCAACCTCTCTAAAGTATATGTAGTCACAACAGGAATAAAGTGTGCCGATTTGGTCAACTTGTCAATAATCACCTAAACTGCATCAAACTTCCACAAGGTCCGCGGCAACCCGACTACAAAGTCCATAGTAATGCGTTCCCATTTCCACTCTGGTATAGTCATCTGCTGAAGTAGGCCACCTGGCCTATGGTGCTCATATTTAACTTGCTGGCAATTTAGACACCTAGCTACATACTCAGCTATGTCCTTTTTCATTCATCGCCACCAATAATGCTGCCTCGGGTCACGATACATCTTCGTAGCACCTGGATGAATAGAATACCGAAAACTATGTGCCTCCTCCAGGATTTTTTTCCTCAGTCCATCCACATTAGGAACATATAGACGATTTTGGAGTCGCAGAACACCATCCGCTCCAATAGTAACTTCCTTGGCACCACCCCGTAGTACCGTTTCTCGAAGAACCACTAAGTGTGGATCATCATACTGGCAAGCCTTGATCTACTCAACTAGTGAAGACTGAGCTACAACACATGCAAGAACTTGGCTGGGCTCTGAAATATCTAGCCGTACAAGTCTGTTGGCCAAGAACTGAATATTCAAAGCTAATGGCCTCTCCTCTGCTGAAATGAAAGCCAAACTACCTATACTCTCCGCTTTTCTACTCAAGGTGTCTGCAACTATATTTGCTTTGCCCGGATGATATAGGATAATAATATCATAATCTTTTAGTAACTCCAGCCATCTGCGCTGCCTTAAATTTAGGTCCCTCTGCTTGAACAAATGCTGCAAACTGCGATGATCAGTGTAAACTTCACAAGACACCCTATAAAGATAATGCCTCCAAATCTTAAGAGCGTGAACAATCGCAGCTAACTCCAAATCATGTACCGGATAATTCTTCTCGTGGGACTTCAGCCGATGTGAAGCATATGCAATAACTCGCCCTTCCTGCATTAATACACAACCTAAGCCAACGCGTAAAGCGTCACAATACACTGTATACATCCCCGAACCGGAAGGCAACACTAATACTGGTGTTGTAGTCAATGTTGTCTTGAGCTTCTGAAAGTTCACCTCACAATCATCGGACCATCGGAACGGAGCACCTTTCTAGGTTAATTTGGTCAAAGGTGCGCAATAGATGAAAAACCTTCCATGAACCGACAATAATAACCTGTTAAACCCAGAAAACTCTTGATCTCAGTTGCCGAAGTGGGACGATGCCAATTCTGAACTGCCTCAATCTTTTTTGGATCAAACTTAATACCCTCGCCCGATACAATATGCCACAAAAATGCTACAGACTCTAGCCAAAACTCACATTTAGAGAATTTAGCATATAGCTTTTGTTCCCGCAGCGTCTGAAGCACCACTCACATGCTGCTCGTGCTCCTCCTTACTGCGCGAGCAGATCAAGATGTCATCAATGAAGACAATGACAAACGAATTAATATATGGCCTGAATACCCTGTTCATCAAATCCATAACCGCTGCCGGGGTGTTAGTTAAACCGAAGGACATCACCAGAAATTCATAATGACCATATCTAGTCCTGAAAGTCATTTTCGGAACATCCAAATCCTGAATCTTCAACTGATGGTACCCTGACCTCAAGTTGATCTTAGATAACACCCTAGCACCCTTCAACTGGTCAAATAGATCATCAATACGCGGCAACAGTTACTTGTTCTTAATAGTGACTTTGTTCAATTGTCGATAATCGATACACATTCGCATAGTACCATCCTTCTTCTTCACAAATAATACCGGTGCACCCTAAAGCGATACACTCGGTCTGACGAACCCTTTGGCTAGTAACTCCTCAAGCTGTTCTTTCAATTCTTTCAATTCTTTCGGAGACATGCGATATGGTGAGATAGATATAGGCTGGGTATCTGGAGCCAAATCAATACAAAAATCAATATCACGATCTGGTGGCATGCTTGGGAGATCTGAAGGAAATACATCGGAGAACTCCCGAACTACAGGCACTGAATCAATAGTCGTAGTCTCTGCAGTAGTATCCCGAACATAGGCTAGATAAGCTAAACAATCCTTCTCAACCATGTGTTGAGCCTTTATAAAAGAAATAACCCAATTAAATGCACTAACGGACGAACCCTTCCATTCCAACCTAGGAAATTCTGGAATAGCCAAGGTAACAGTTTTGGCATGGCAATCTAGGATGGCATGATATGGAGATAACCAGTCCATGCCCAGGATAATTTCAAAATTGATCATCTCAAGCAATAGGAGATCTGCTCTAGTTTCATAACCACAAAATATAATAATACAGGACCGGTAGATCCGATTCACAACAACAGAATCGCCCACAGGAGTGGACACATAAACGGGAGTACTCAAGGACGCACGGGAAACACCCAGTAAACGAGCAAATAGAGATGACACATAGGAATATGTAGATCCTAGATCAAATAATACGGAGGCATCTTTGCCGCAAACAAAAATAATACCTGTAATCACGGCATCTGAGGCCTCTGCATCTAGTCTGGCCTCTACCTGGCTGACCTCCACCTCTAGGACGACCCCTACCCACCTGTCCTCCACCTCTTGGTGGTCGGACGACTGGTGGAGCAACTGGTGTTGTAATCATAGGCTGCTGACCCTGCTGCACTGGTCTACCCTAAAGTCTGGGGCAGAATCTCCGTATGTGACTGCGACCCCCACACTCGTAACAACTCTTAGGTACAATGGGTTGCTGACTAAGAATCTAGCCCTGGTGACCTGAATACCCACTGGAAGGACCCTAAATAACTGGTGGGCGAT